CCTCTCTCTGCTCTCTGCCCAAGAAGACACCCTCTCAACCGATTAGTCACCGGTCCTAGCCGGTTTGCAGTGTTTAACTGTCTCCTACCCGTACTATTTGCCCTCTGACTCAAAACCCAGCATCAATTTTGCATAATGGGTTTTGGTCCTTTTCTTTGAGACCACCTTTGGGGACCTCAGGGAAGGACCTTTGGGAGAGAAACTCTCATGAAACGGAATAACACTCTTTGTTATCCCGGTAAATAATACAATGAATTCCATTGTTATTGGTTGAAAATAGCAAAATAATATCATTCCCGTTACAATTGAGTTTTATTCGACCTTTGAAAAGGACCTTGGGGACCTCTGAGTATGATCAGGAAAGACTCAGGTAAGGTGTAGAAGAAGACAAAAACGTATCAGAAGAATTCAGAAAACAAATGGGGCTTGGCTTTTGGTTGACACATATAATTATAAGAATCTTTTTGTGGTTTGTTTGACAAGATTGAAGATCTTCCTACATTCCAATTTGGATTTTTAATAGTGATGATGATTCCCTCACCAGCGGCGCATCCAAGTAACCCTCCTCACTCGTGCGTTTTGATTGGACGCACCATACAATTTTCCACTTTGCTTGGTCATTTCATTTCATTTCATTACATCTTTCTCATGTCATAATTCCTGCCTTCCCTTCTGCCTAACAAAATTCATATCCAAAGTTTAAGTTTTGTTTTCACCCATCAAAAGAAAAAGAACAAAAAGAGAACAAAAGTTTTAAGTTTCTAAAATATGGCCTAGAGCTCGAGGCTTTGGTGAGGAATAGAACACAAAACCAACCATTTGCTAATTTTGGAAAGTGTGTGTGACGTGACACATCACTTGGTTAGGCTTATCTTAGCTTTCATATTCAACCCACCATTGTCTTCTGGTGGTTTTGTCAGCTGGTGAGCTCCGTTCGATCCAAGTCAGGCTCATTTGAGGGGCCTATCTGATGGAGTTTTGCATGGAAACAAATATTTTTCGAGCAACATGGATATATTATGGACTTTGTAGAGAGTATCTGATGGACTCGTTCTTGTTTCATTCGTGAGCATGTTTTTGCCATATGATTAGATGAACGAAGTTCATGGAACTTCAATAGAGAGAATATGAACTATGTTGATGCTCAAAATGGTTGGGCCAAGATTGAGTCCAACTTAGTGATGAGGTGTGATGGATGATGAGTGAAGGTTTGGACCTTCTGCGTGTATGTGAGGACTTAGCCAGTTTATGAATATACAAAAGACAAGATATATGTGGTTCACCCTTAATGAATGGGCGACGTCCACAGAGAAGATGTTCTCATTATGATATTGTTTACATTTGTACAAGGGGATTAGACCCAAAGATAAATGGAAGAAGGCCTAGGGTCTAAGGTACAAAGTTTGGAGTCTGGAGCCCAGGGGTCAAGTCCCCGGGTCTGGAGACCCAGGACTCGAAGGCCAGACTAACAGGAGAGTCCTGAAGAGGGAGCCCAGCTCAGTTTCCAATCCTCTCTTAAGTGGAGAGTGGTATGCTTTTATAGGTGAGAGGGAGCCTTCACTTCTTGTTGTTTTCCGATGTGGGACTCCTCTTGCTTTGCTTAGAGTTCCTTCTAGTCTTCTAGTTGCTTGGTCAGTTATGGTGTCAACAAACTAAACAAGATAAATTTTTTATACTTACTCTTGTTGGCACAAGATCTGTCTTGAATCGATTGATCATTAATGATTAAGGCATGACCTAGACATCCTCATGAATAAAGTTGAGGTTCCATTCCAAAACCAATTGGCAATGGGGGGAGTAGCCCAACTCCTTATAAACCCAGGCTTGGTCCCTTAACTTTTCAATGTGGGACAAATACTCTCAACACGCCCCCGCACGTGTGGCAAACTTTCAAACCTAACACGTGGACAACGCACATATTGGGTGACGTGGGAGCACGTGTGGCCGTTGGGCCTAACACGTGAAGCCTTGCTCTGATACGATGAAGAAAGTTGAGGTTCCATCCCCAAACCAATTGGCAATGAGGGGAGTAGCCCAACTCCTTATAAACCCAAGCTTGGTCCCTTAACTTTTCAATGTGGGACAAATACTCTCAACACCTCATTCCCCCAGTTAAGGAGATATGCTTCCTCATGCCTTCTATAAATACTCATCAACCAAATTTAGACAAGGGTTATAACTCTCAACCATTTCGAAACTCTGTTAATTCTTTATATAATTCATTCTTACTTTGGCATCAGTGAAGGTTTAGCTAATACTACACTTGTGTCATCGAGGTGACCATTTCTATATCTTGTGCAGAACACGTCTGCTGAGAAGAGAAGGAAATGCATGCGAAAACAGTCTAAGATCTTGTCATTGATGGACTACGCAATGTGCACACACACAAACCAGGGAAAGTAGAAGAACACACACACTCTAAAGTAAAACAGACAATAGAGAACACACGAATTTATAGAGGTTGGGATTTGTGTCTTCGTACTCTATGTAAAGTAGAAGCACACACACACACCAAAGTAAAACAGACAACAAATAACACAAGAATTTATAGAGGTTCGGATTTGTGTCTACATCCTCTTTGGTGATCGCCTCGAGGAATATCACTAGTAATAAGAACACCTTCAGTTACAAGTAAAACCCCCTTCGCTCTTACATACCCTAGATCTTTATTTCTCTCACACCCTGCTCAAACTCAAGTTGATGCCCTTGTTTTCTGTCATAAAAAACCCTAGCACTAAAAACAGCTTATTTATGCAAATGGGCTTTTAGATATAATCATACAAGGAATAGGAAATCAAAAACAGTCTATTAAAAAAAAAAAAAAAAAAACAAGCTGATTTGTGTGTGTCACACCCGAAAGCCTCTTATCGGCTCTAACACCTAGGTCAGCTCAAGTCTAAGACCGCAGCTCGAGTGCGCTCCTTTTCCACCTAAGTTTGAGAATTGCCTCTCGAGCTCGCCAGTCAGTCTACATAGGTTTTGCAGCACCTTATAGACCTAGTTTCTTCATTCCTCCGCATCTTTAGATGAGCCAACATCAACACACTTCATACCCGACCTCGTGGAAGCCCTAACTTTCACCCAATTAAAGTCAACAATCTAAAATCACATGTCAACAACTCTCATTTATACTTTGTTCCTCAAGTTTTCCTAGTTCGGAGATTATTGGTGATTTGGGCATTATCAATTTGCAAAAAGACTATGCATGGTCAATTAGGATGATTTTCCATTAATTTGCGTTTTTAATTATTTTCTAACATGATATGCTATTGATATTAATTGTATTAGTATTGCTATTTGTACCACGTTTATTGACTACATTCCCAACCACCTCTCTAATATAGAAGGGTCTCATATACATTAGTGGGGCCCACCTCTATTAAAGAGGTGAGACCCACCTGTACTAGAGAGGTGATCAACAAAGTGATCAATAAAAATGGTACAAATAGTATTATTGAAATTGTATTGGTGTTTCGAACTAATTGATTGATTGCATACTCCACTTGTTTTAATCTTGTTAGAGATTTTTAATGTCACTTCTAGGGGTGTATTCAATTAAGATTTTAATGGATTTTAAAGTAGTTAGAACTCTATGAATTTTGTTTGACTTTCATAAACTCCACATATACTTTGATTGAATTTCATAATAATTTTGATGAAATTTGGTGGAATCTTGTGATAGAGTTTGATAGATTTTATTAAACTTCTATAAATTCAAAATAATTGTGGGCAAATCATGTTTGATGTTAGTGATGGTAGTAGAGATGGTGATGGTGGAGTTGGTAAATGTATTAATGTTGGTGGTAATCACTGTGTCAAGTAGTGGTGGTGGTGATGGTGATGGTGATTCAAAAATAATTGGAGTCCTTATTGTTTGTTACGTATAGAAAATAACTTTATATAAAGTCAGCTTCCCATGGAATTCATAGTTTCTTGACTAGAAGATAATCGTTCGGTAACGTTTTAAGGGGGATGTTTTCATTTTCAGAGAACAAAAATGAGGCAAAAACACGTTCAGTGGCACAAAAACAGAAAACATTGAGAATGTTTTCATAAAATGAAAACAAGTTCATGTGTACTTGTAGAAAATAGAAAAAAGTTGTTTTTCATTCTCATGGGAAACGTTTTCATAAAAATAACTCACATATTTATTTCAAATTGTATTACCATACACGTTTTCATTGTTTTTTTTTTTTTTCTAAAGATGTTGTCTAATTAATTTACCAGACACATTTTCATTTCCTGAAAATGAAAATTCGTTTTCTTATTTTCATTCTTTGAAAATATTCTAATAAAACATTCTCCGAAAACATTACCAAACAGGGCCTAAATTTCTTGATGCACAATCTATTCAATTTCATTAATTTGCAATACTAATAGTAGCAAAAATAAAATTAACTCAAGCTTACTTGACCTGATTTGTGAGATTAGACATATTTTAAGTAAGCATGCTCACTCATGTGATTAAAAAACAAATTACACGATATTATGCAATTTATTTCGTCACATTTTTCACCTACTTTCGTGGCTAAAGCCTAAAACAGAAGAAAATGTGCTATGAAATAGCTCAGTCCATGGCATTTGACCGTACCCAACTAGCATAAGGTTATGTGCATCAATGATCCCAAAATTATCCCCTCATAAAAATATTCACCTACCTCAAACATAAATACAATAAAATAAACATAAAAATTAAATTAAAAATAAAAATAAAAACTAAAAAATCTTGATTAGATGGTTCCTTGAGTTCTGATCTGTCAATTGAAAAAATAAATCTCCCTCCATCACCCCTCTCATACCCTCACGCAATCAAAGGCCGACACGTGTCCTACTCCCCACACATATTAGAGTCCTAGAGGCCCCTCGGCTTTACATCACCTAGACATGTGGACCCTTGTGTCCTCAGTCCAAATGACCAAATGCCTCCGTTACGTATAACGGAGGAAACTGACGCCGTTAACATCTTCCTCTATATAAATACAAGATCCCAATTTGTTCCCATTCTCTCTCGTCTGTAATTTTCCGATTTTTAGGATTGTCGTAACGTGAAACCAGGGGCTGTAGTATCCGAAACATTCCCTTTTCGGTAAATTTCGAATATATCGCCCGGCATTTCGTCTCCCGGCCAAGAATATCGGTCCGAAGATTGTTGTTTCTGCATTGGGAGAAAATTTGGTGATCTGGGTTGACTTCACACTGCCAAAATTGAAGCGATTTTGATTATCGCAAGATTTCGGGTTCACTCAGTTTGGTGCAACGGAAAGTTCAGTGAAGAGGTTCCAGTTTCATTTTTCAAATTTATTCGGTTCCTTTCTCTGGAGATTGAAATGTTTGGTTCTTCCCGTGCCGGTTCTTCAAGATGAGGTGTTGATCTAGGTGAGAGTTGCAATTTCTTTACTGTTTTTTTTCTTAATTTTCTCGGCAACGAAACAGAGCAGAGCATCCATCATTTTGCTCTTTATCCATCTCCCATGAATTGTTTTATTTTCTCTTCTCGTTTGTCCCTAGACTTTTTCGAAATGGGTTTGGTCTGGTTTCCATTTTGCATCAATAATATGTGAGATTGAGGAATTTGAATGCTCTGTTTCTAATAGTTTTTTTTTTCTGTTTTGTTTTGTTTTGTTTTTGGGTCCATTGATACAGTGGGAAAACAGAGTGGCCTATATTGAATGAAGGCATTGAAGCAGAGCGGTTGAAAGAGAGAGAGAGTTCGAGACTGGGAATAGTGGCAGCTAAGCTAAGGGACTAGCGACTAGGAAGAGAGAGAGAGAGAGAGAGAGAGAGAGAGAGAGAGAGAGGCAGCTTAAAGCGACAAGAGCAGAGAAAAAAAAAAGCAGAGTTGAGGGTTTGCTTGGGTAAGTCGTTTTCGAATAATAATGATACAAAATTTCAATTTAATATTTGATCTAATCTGATTCTTCTTCTTTTCAGTTGTTTTCTTTGTCTCTCTGTCTTCTCAACCACCGCTTTCATACCCCAACACTCCCCTCCCCACCAAAAAAAAAAAAAACAAGAAAGAAATTATTTATTTTTGGTTGAAAAAAAATAAAAAATTAAAAGAAAAAAGAGAAAGAAACAGAGTGCCACTTTGTCTCTAATGCAATTTTGGCATTTGCTTATTTATTTATTTATTTATGAATTGGGTTCGTACATTAAAGCGACGCACATCCTCGAGTTAGCCTCCTAATAAGACCACTTTCAAAGTTTCAAATGCCACTTCCCAATTTTCTTTTTGGGTTCTTTCAATTATTGACTCATTATATTTTACGCATTTTCCTGGTCTTCTCTGATCCCGAGTTCTTTTTTTCCTTTTTCACTTTTTTTTTTCTTCTTTCCCCTCTCTTACTTTGGACCCATTTGTTTCCCGGGAAAATCATCAAAAGAAAAACCCACAATCCTTCCATTTCACATTTGCTGTATTGGTGGTATTTTTTTCTCTGCATTTTCTCTGCCACCAAACAACTTGGCGGGCAGTGTTTTTATTTTTATTTTTAAGGGTGTTTTGTTTTGTGGATTGGGGCCCCTTCTTCATCCAAGGATGTTTTGTTTTGTGAACTTCCATTTTGCCATCCAAGGGAATGTTCTATTTTCCAATGAATTGTCCGAATTACCCCTTAAAAATTTCCTCCCTCCTAGGCGTTTTCGTAATTAGCAACACCCCCTCTTAAACAAATATAACTTTCTTATAGGTCCATGAAAACAAAAAGAGGTAGTTTGGGGGGAGATGGTTTATTTGTTCATGAATTTGTTTGTTTGTATGTTTGATTTGAGGCTATGTACTGAAATGAAATTATATGGTTTTTTCAGGGGTAAAAAGGGTAAAGAAGAAAGGGAGAAGAAGATGTTTACATGCATAGCATGTACGAAGCAGACGGACGATGGTGGAGAGGAAGGAGGTGCGCGTGGCAGTGGCACCCCAAGTACAAAAGAAGCCGTCAAAAGCCTGACGGCGCAGGTTCCTAATCAATCCCTCTCTCTCTCTCTCTCTCTCTCTCTCTCTGTGTATGCGTGTCTTTTGCTTGCTTCACCTACACAAGCTTTTGCTTTTTCAGCTTCTTTTTCCATAAAAATGAAAACGAAGCAAACAAAATCACAAGAGCATTAAGTGGGGCCTGGTGTTGCGGGGCCCACTTTTTGGCATCTTTCCAAGTCTGCATTGCATATATAAACACACCCTCCACCCCACTACTCTCTGTTCCTAGCTACTTATGCTTTGTGCTCTTTTAAATCGACCCATGAAGAATAATAAATAGCATCAGAAGAATTAGCTTTGAGATATTCAAAATTCACCTTTGAATTTATGAACTGAGGACACCTTCTGGTCCTACTACTTCCACCCTACAACGCTATAACTCTGAATTAGCACGGGGATTGAGCCCACCCTAGATTCTATCTACACCCTCATATCATCCAATATTGTCTTGAAAAATGGACAAATCGAACCCATAATCTCGAGCGCAACACTTTAGAATTGCTTACATAGGAATCTACACAAAGTATTTTAAATTTTTTACAAAACGCTGTCAGAAATGCTGGAAGCGTTTTTAACTCCTCCATAAACACTCGCAAACATGCGCTTAATTAAGAAAAACTTGTGATCATATGGTAACGTGAGTGACAATGACATATATATTTGTCATTAAAATTTTGTGTGTGAACGTATTAGACATGTCTACTTCAACTATAATGTGCTGATGATGTCATTGGTAGTAATCTATTGTAAATAGAATTAATTTATTCTATGTTTATTATTTTTTCTCATTTTTAAAATATGCACAAATAAAATATAATCTCCCGCCAGTACACTTAGAAAGCCCTAAGAGTTTCCGCAACAAGTAATGGGAGAAATGGTGTGGGGTGTTGAGAAAAGAGAATTCGCTATATTTAGAAAAAGACTGCTAATTGATGTCCTTGCGTGACCCACCATTGAATTCTTGTCTAATTACTGTTTTGTTAAAGTAAATACATGCTATAGCGTAGAACGGAAATATTTTTTGTAAGTGAAAAAAAGTAGAAAATCGCTTAAGATTTGGGTTTGATTATCTGCCTTCACTTTAGGGCTTGCTGCCCGAAATCACTTTTGCAACACAAGAATGTCTGCATTGTTATTGGGAGTCCCAAAGCTATGCTTTGTTACATCTAGATATCAAATGTATCATAATTGGGTACACGCGGTCCTATGATAAACGAAGAATGCTAAGTTCAATCGCGTACGTGCACAACTCACCTTCTATTGCAAACTATATTAATTTTTTTTTAAAGGCAAATGCTATGGTCAGTTGCCCACACATGTGAGTGATCTTTTGAAATAAATGCGGATAACATAATGTAACACTGAACAATTACAAACATTTGTTACCAAATAAGTAGGTGCCCTTTAAAATGGTAATTCAAACGCTGCTGTTTTTGGTCCCATAATAAATTCTTAATGTTGGTTTGTACTCACCTTACAACAATTTGCAACAAAGATTAGGTACCTATCTGCCCCATCAGTAATAATCTGGTGTATCCGGTTGTTTTCTTGACATGGTATTCAAGATAAACCACACTTAAAGAAAGTGAAATACTTTGAAAATTTGTGTCTTCACATGGAATTATCTCATATAAACTGTTTTCTTCCATTTATATGATTCTCTTTAATGTTAAAAAACATAATGATTTGGAAAATGCATAATGATAAATGTTCCATATAATTCTTGCATAGCTTTCTTGGGCATTTGGCCAACCCCATTTTTCTAACATTGTGCAGATCAAAGATATGGCACTGAAATTCTCTGGTGCTTACAAGCAATGTAAACCATGCACAGGGTCGAGTAATTATAAGAAAGGAACACCGAGACCTTACCCGGATTTTGACACTGCTTCAGAAGGGATTCCATACCCCTATATTGCAAGCTCAAGTTCTACACCAGCTTGGGACTTCACCTCTAATCATCAATTGGGTGCAAGATCAGACTCAAGATTTACCAGAGGATATGGTGGTGGTGATCGGACCCCGGGAGGTGCATCCTATGCTCAGTCTTGTGATGTAGTTTTGGATGAGGATGAGCCTAAGGAGTGGATGGCACAGGTGGAACCCGGCGTACACATCACTTTCGTATCTCTTCCTAATGGGGGAAATGATCTCAAACGAATTCGTTTCAGGTATGGCAATGACTATTGCAGGAAAAAGAAATTAGTATCTGTACAAAGTAATTGTACCCTTGTCAAAATCCAAGAACAGGACTTGTGAACACATGGGGTTGGTAAATAGACATTAGTTAAAAATTGTATGGAACTTGAGATGTGGCTTTGATTCTGCTAATGTCTTAAAATCTAGTACTTGTAACTTGATTATCCCTGTACAATGTACATCAATGTACATCAAACTGATCAAACATGACTTTCAAATTTGAAGCCGAGAGATGTTTAACAAATGGCAAGCTCAGCGATGGTGGGGTGAGAATTATGACCGCATCATGGAGCTCTACAATGTTCAGAGATTCAACCGGCAAGCTCTGCACACTCCTCCAAGGTCTGAAGATGAGGTAATTAAATTTAATTTGGCATTCAGGCATGAAATGAAGAACACCATTGACTGTACATGGAACCATTTAAATGGCTTCTTGGAAACCTCATTTGATTTTATAGCTAACATCACTGTGATAAAGTTTCTAAAAGTGTGCTTTGATGGATGCTAGAAAAGAGGTCCATTGAATTAATGTCTATGATGTATGTGTACTTGAAAATGGTAGTTATTAACAGACTGTTGTACTCAGCAGCAGAGAGATTCTTCTTATTCAAGGATGGGATCTGCTATGGAAAGCCCTATGGCTCCATCAAACAAGGATTGGACACCAAGGAACCAGTATAAACCCTCTGGAGCTGGAAGTAGAGGCTATTTCCCATCCGATTCTTTTGATCATGGTGGTGGTGGTCACCACTACAATGCTGGTGGTTCTAGTGCTTATGGAGCAGGCGGGCACAAGGGAGAGGCATCATCTTTCGATGCTTCACGGACAACAACCTCCTCTAGAGATGAAGCTTCAATCTCAATTAGCAATGCTAGTGATGTCGAGTCAGAATGGGTTGAGGAAGATGAGCCTGGGGTATATATAACCATAAGGCAGCTAGCTGATGGCACTCGGGAACTTCGCCGTGTCCGATTCAGGTAACAGATTCACTAGCATTTTCATTCATCTTCTCTGTTGCATCATATATACATGGTGACCTACCCATTCCATGACCTGCTCTGTATTTACTTCCATACAGCTAGTTCTTGATCTTCTTTTCAGACACTACTAATTATTTGTTAATCGATCCACTACCATCTTCATGAATTCTCTCTGTTGCACCATAATCATACGATAAGCTTCATGCCAAAAGTATAACTAAATCATATTTTTAAGTTTTCAAATTTGTACAGCCAGTTCTGGATCTTGTTTTCGATTTTGGCAATTAGCAATTTCTTGTTTTGGTAATTGAGAGGCAGCTCATGACCTTATTTCTCTGATTTGCACAGCCGCGAAAGGTTCGGGGAGATGAACGCAAAGACGTGGTGGGAAGAAAACAGAGAGAGAATACAAGCTCAATACCTTTAAATTTTAACATTACAAACACAACCAACATTTCTGATGGATGATATGAAAGAGTTCAAGGTGCATCTGGATGTCTTAAAAAGCTGAAAAATGAAAGATTTCAGTGAAGTCTCCACAGGAAATTGGTGTTGCCACCACTATTATATGATCTAACACTTCAAATAACTTCATTTTTTTAGCTATCATATATAGTGATGATGGCTCATGGGGTGGTGGTTCATTTCCTGTCAGGGCTCATTTACATGAGGATATCCAGATGTGTCAAGTTTTGCCTTCATTGGTGTCTTTGAGTCTTCTTTTCCCTTTATGACTATTAGTTTTTGGGATTATGGGATTCGTGGCTCTCATTTGAGTTTGTTCTTTGTAACACATATAGTTTGAGAAATGGAATTTAATTTATTTGCGGTTATCTCTCTGAATGCCTTGTATTGCTCAAAATGCTCAAAGCATTTGCCCCATATGTACTTTGAAGTGTAATTCGGCTTCCACCCTCCCCCTACCCCTATTTTATATATATATATATATATTCTTTTTGTCTCTTTGTTTTTTTTTTAAAAAGGAAAACTTGTTGAAGAGCCCTCCATTGGAGGAACTGGTTGTTAGACATGTAAGCCCCCATAAACAAATCTTGCAAAACAATTTGGTAGATGCAGTAAAAATCATCATGAATGTCGAACTATATTTATGAATATGGATGGAAGTGCATCGTGGAGCTTTTAGTATCGCACTACATTCACGTTGATGTAAAATAAATGGCTGAATGGATTGAAGAAGAATTGGAGTGAAGAAGGGAAAAAGGACGCAGCGGGAATTTACAGATTTGGCATCCGAGCTCTAATTGGGTCGCATAATACCTTCTTGAAAATGGAACGATGCCACGAGTCCAACTCACTGTTTTGCTGTGACATATGGTGGATTTTGGGATTCTGAGGACATTTGGCCTTCCACAAGCGCATTTAAAGTTTGTATTCAACTTACAGACTTTCTGTTTATTTTCTATTAAGTTTTCAGTAACTCCCCAGGACAGTCCAATGGGTGAGAACGTTGTATTTAGTCAACCATCATTCTTGGTTGAACTTATCTCGACTTTTATCAATAATTCAAAGAGAATTTCTCTATAATTTCCTGTTGGATTCCATATTATTGTTCTTTAGGGTTTTCGCTTGAAAACCTATTTGCTTGTGCTGCGTTAAGTGGTATCAGAGCGGGTCTCTCCCGTCTCGGTATTATTGGCTTATTATGGGTGATCGTGAAACTGCTGTCCCAATTACCCGAGCAAACTTGGACGCTCAAAACGTACGAATCGACAATTTAGCCAATCAACTTGGGGAAATGCGTGAGTTGTTGTTACAAACTATTGATGGCAACAATAGAAGAGAAGACAGAGATAACAACAGAAGAGAAGATAGAGATAACGATGGAAGAAATAATAGGAGATAACGTGTTCCAGAGAGCGAGTCAGAGTCTAAAGAAGAACTTGAGGAACCACCACCGGTTAACAATCCACAACATCGTAATCACAACAATTTTGGTGATTATTGGATAAAAGCCAAAATCCCTAATTCTTGGGGAAATCTGAAAATTGAAGATTTCTTGGATTGGTTGGTAGAAGTGGAGAGGTTTTTGAAATTATGGAGGTTCCAGAGAACAAAATGGTGAAGATGGTCGCTTTCGGTCTGAACATCACAGCGGCTGTATGGTGGGATCAATTGCAGAATTCACGATAGAGGAAAAGAAAGCAACGGGTTCGTATGTGGCGAAAGATGAAGCAACTTACGATGGATCGGTTCCTACCTACTGATTATGAACAAATTTTGTACCGCATGTACATCGACTATGTGCAAGTTAATCGTTCGGTTTCTGAATATACCGAAGAATTTATGTGTCTAGTGGAGCGTAGTCAGTTGACCAAGACTGAAAACCAAAAGGTTGCAATATTAATGGCCTGAAAAATTTCCATTCAAGAAAAAATTGGTTTGCAGAATATGTGGACTTTACAGGAGGAGATTAATATGGCGTTAAAGGCTTGTTGTTGGAGAAGGAGAAATGCCAAACTAATTACCGCAGGAACATGATGGAACATTTAGAAAGTGTTGCTACTTTTCCTAGTGACAAGGGAAAAATGTAGCAGCAAAACTTCGGAGGATCGTCAAAACTGTCGAACTTCCAAAGTAAAAGTGACAATGAGGGCAGCAGCCAGATTTCCAATATAGTGCAGACTCGGAACTAGCCCCAGAAGGAGAACTCGTATGCTAAGCCCATGACGGATATTTGTTACCAATGCCAAAAACCAGGGCATCGTTCCAACGTTTGTCCCGAGCGGAGGCAAGCTAATTTTATAGAAGATGTTGGTGATGATGAAGAAAATGATGAAGTTGTAGATGATGATTATGCATGGGTTGAGTTTGCAATTGAGGAGGGAATAGAAAGGCTTACTTTGGTTTTACAGCGAGTTATTTTGGCACTGTTTCCCTCTTTTCGGCCGGGTTGGCCAATTGAAGGAGGTTTGGTCCTTCTTCTCTTGGATTGCGTAGGCGTGCCACCGCCAAGCCACTGAATGGTTTGGATGGAAAAGGTTGGATGGATATATTGCGCTTCTAACTTCTGATCAAGTGATTAATTGGCCAAGCAAAGAACCTCTTCTTGGCCTTGGTTCTTTCACTTCCTCAGGCTCGAGGATGGTTAAGCTTCGTATGGATATTTTTGTGATTCTTATGGGTTCTAAGTGAAAATGATGCAATTAAATTAAAGACAATAATTAAAGTGCGATAAAATAGATTAAAGCAATAAACGAAGAACAAAAGACGATAAACTAAATTAAACTTAATAGAATTTCGATAACAATGAAAAGTAAAGCAATGGAAATAAACTTGAATTTAAAAGACAAGATAATGTAAATTGCAAGAAAGTAAACTTACACTAAGAAAAGGAAAAACTTGCTACACTAAGTGCATGAAAAGTAAAATTCTAAGTCTAGGGAAAAAAAAGTGTGAGACGAAAAATAGGTTTGTGTGTCAGATGATGTGTGTCTTCTCCCTTCATTTGATGAGGTTTATATAGGGGCATCCGTCAGCCCATGGGTTGGCCATTAAATGACCAAAGGTCAACTTTGTTCAAAATCTTTCCTTTTGAAGCCTTCAAATCTGTGGGATCACAATGATGGAAACCTTTTGATTGCTTGATTCTCTCTTCTTTTGGAATACTCCAGATTGTCATCAATCTCCTTGATTTCCTTCATTATCAAACCTCCGTCACATGCATGCGATCCTCCAAAAATCTTGGGTTCTAATATGTGGCTTAGGCTTGGACACCGAGACTTTTAGCTTGACATCTGGTGAGACATTGTAACTTCTGGAATTCTGATCTTGGTTGAAACACCCACTAATGTTGGTGACTTGGAATTGCTTGACCGGACATAGAGTTGGGTTCCACCCCGACTTGGGGTTGCTCAACCGCAACTTGGAGTTGCTCGACCTCGACTTTGAGTTGGTTTGATTCGGCTGATCGAAGGCCTTGATCTTGGCTGATTAGAGGACTTAACCTTGGCTGATCGGGCACCTTGATCTCGGCTGATCAGAGGACTTGATCTTAGCTGATCGAAGACCTTGATCTTGGCTGATCAGACACCTTGATCTTAGCTGATTGAAGACCTTGATCTTGGCTGATCAGAGGACTTGACCTTGGCTGATCAGACACCTTGATCTTGGCTGATCAGACACCTTGATCTTAGCTGATCGAAGACCTTGATCTTGGCTGATCAGAAGACTTGACCTTGGCTGATCAGAGACCTTGATCTTGGCTGACCAGAAGACTTGACCTTGGCTTATTAGAGACCACAACAAAACATCCACTTCAGAAGTTCTAGATGTTCCGACTTTCGAAGTCAAATGTTTTCAACCCGTTGTTGGAAGTTAGGTTTCGACTTCTAAGTTCTTGGTCTGAATTATGATGGAACATCGTGCATCTTAAGCTATAGATTTGATTGAAGATTAAACGACGTAGGGTGCATGATGACCCCTAAATTCGGCCTTCTTGTTTCGATTTGGCCATTAAGCACCTTGAACCACCAGTTTGCATTTTGGCCTATTGGTTTTCCAAGAAGCATGGTCGGACTTCGACTAGGCTCAAACACATCCATATCAATAACATCACATACGACTTCATCTCTGCAAGATCTGTGTCATGAATATGAAGGGCTCTAAGCTTGGAGTAAAACATGGTTGGCCACCACAAGGTAGGCCATTAAGATTCTAATAAAGGTCATGGTTCATTCTTGAACAAATTGGCCACTTAATTTTAAAAAAAATTTAACAATTTTAAAAAATAAATAAAAATTTATTTATGAAGTTGGCCTCCACATATGAGAAATTGTACTTCGTCTAGTGGCTAAGGTCAACATCACCCATAGAGAAATTGAGTTTCGTCGGTGGAAGATGAAAGTTGCCTCGACTTCGGCCACGGAAGTTGAAGTTTGTGATTCGTAGGCGAAAGACGGCTTGGGGGCATGTCCATCACCCAAGTAATCCACTGAAGGGATTCACTAGGCTTTATATGGTCGTGAACACTAGGAGGAATCCTAGAAAGGATCAAGAGTCTAGACTTCGTTTGGAATCAGAGACAAGCATGGTTGGTTCACTTCCCATGAACACTCAGCCACAAAATGTTATGAACGGACAACAAAGCCAAAATGGCATTGGCCGAGCTACGGCCGTCGACCCCAACCATGCGGTGGTCGAAGATGTTACGGAAGTCGCTGGAGGACCTGGATTCGGCCACTTCGCTGGAGATCCAACAGCTCATCCGAGCGATGGAGACATCAAACCAACTCAACCAGCAACGGATGCAAAACATGACTCAAACATAGCCACCCAAAATGCTTAGATGAATGAGAGGTTTGATCGATTGCTAGGCCAACAAAATGGCCAAAATGGGAATCAGGTGCCTCCAAATGGAGTGCCAGTGGCAGGGCCTCAAGTGGAGGTTCAACCAAACGTCTTGGGTGCGAATTCGCCTAAACCAAATCCACCAGCTGGTGATAACCCAACCCCAGCGGTCAATGCTCAGTCGATAAGTAATAATCTGTATGTGGCGGCCAACCAATTCCAAGAATTCCCGCCATATAACCAGTTTCGCCCACAAGTCCACCAGGGGGCAGGAGTCAACTTCGCTGGACCTCATATCAACCAATTCGCCGGAATCGGTGGATGGAATAATCTTGGTGGGAATGCGAACTTGAATAATCCAATACTGGGAAACCAAGCGATCGACCGAGGAGCGATCGAATAGATGATCCAAGATATGGTACCTCATGCTAGGAGGATTGGTAGACCAGTTTACCGGAGGCCTTATCCGGAGCATTTTGATCAAGAGGAAGTTTCCATGAGGTTTCAAAGTCCCAGACTTTGCATTGTTTTCAGGAGATGGACTTCAATCGACCGTGGAGCACATTGGCTGATTCACAGCTCAATGTGCTGAAATCGGACAACGT